CTCTCTCTCTCTCTCTGAAAATAAATAAATAAACATTTAAAAAAAATAAAATCAGGGATGCCTGGATGGCTCCATCGGGCACATGTCCGACTTCAGCTCAGGTCATGATCTCACAGTTCATGAGTTCTAACCCCATGCCCAGCTCTGTGCTGCTAGCTCAAAGCCTGGAGCCTGCTTCAGACTCTGTATCTCCCTCTCTCTGTGCCCCTTCCCCACTTGCACTCCATCTCTGTCTCTTAAGAATAAAGAAACATTTTTAAAAAGCGTTCACCTTGCTTATTAATTAATTAATTTAATTAATTGAAAGTACCATGTTGCTACATAGTCTGATTTTTATTCACAGGTAATGTTCTGTTTTGTGGTGGTTAGGTATGTTTGAAAAACTAATTCCAGGGGCGCCTGGGTGGCGCAGTCGGTTAAGCGTCCGACTTCAGCCAGGTCACGATCTCGCGGTCTGTGAGTTCGAGCCCCGCGTCGGGCTCTGGGCTGATGGCTCAGAGCCTGGAGCCTGTTTCCGATTCTGTGTCTCCCTCTCTCTCTGCCCCTCCCCCGTTCATGCTCTGTCTCTCTCTGTCCCAAAAATAAATAAAAACGCTGAAAAAAAAAAAAATTGAAAAACTAATTCCATAATGTTGGACAATTAAATGTTTTTTTATTGATGAATCTGTTTATGAATATAACATGATGCTTCTAATGAACTTCTTTTCTCTAAATCTTTAGGAATAGAATTACTGATTCAGTAAATTAATCACCAAGGATTAATTTAAACTCCTTTGTCCATGTATTTGTTTTTTACTTTGAGTGAATTGTCATTTCTTCATTTAGCAACTGCCATCTATTGTTTTTCTATTGTTGTAAACAATCTCTTTATATATAGAAATCAATGTTAAATTATATTTCCAGTACATATCATTTAATTTTAATCTTGTTGTTTTTCAGTAGAGTTGTACATGGAGTTTGGGCAAGGTTGTGGGTAGATAAAGTAAAAATCTCAGCTGTCAAGTTGGGAGCAAAGTTTAAAAAGTCACAAAATAAGGTTGCCTGGTGGCTCAGTCCATTAAGCATTCTCCTCTTGATTTCGGCTTGGGTAATGCTCTCAGCAGTTCGTGGGATGGAGCCATTGGATTCTCTCTCTTCCACTCTCTCTACCCCTCCCCCACTCACGCACAAGGTCTCTTTTTCAAAATAAATAAACATTTTTTTTTTAAGTCACAAAATAATTTTTTCCTCCAGGAACGTACTTGTAGCTAATATTTAGGTTCTGTATGTGTTCTACCACAATGTAGTTAGGAATTACTGATCTACTAAGGTGGCTAATTTAGATTTTCTTATTTTAATAGTGCACTGGTAAAACTGATGAATAAATCAATAGAGGGAACAGCAGATGATGAAGAGGAGGGTGTAAGTCCAGATACAGCTATTCGTTCAGGACTTGAACTTCTTAAGGTACTTTTAAAATAATTCTGTCTCCATGAATTTCCAGTCTTAATTCCAATTCCCTTAAGGATATGCAAGGGTTGGGCTTTATTTCATTGGAAACTGAAAAATTAAACATTTGTAGTAGAAATCATATTTTATAAAAATGTATGTCTTTCACATTACAATAATGTAATTGTTTCACATTATAAAATCATGTTTTGATGATTTGCTATTTCATTCCTCATTTGCATACCTGTATTTAACAACATGTGCTTGTAATAGTATGTTCTAAATGATCTAGTCTTAACTTTCATCTGCTGAAGGAATTATATGACAGTATCTGTCTTATCAGGAAATTTTTAAACAATTGTTACTCATATTATGCCAAAGAATTCAGAGAATAGAGCAATTAGTAAGCGGCAGATCAGGCAAGACTTTGTGGACAAGATATGGCTTACTCTAAGGGTAACACAGCATCGTGAAAGAGAATAATTCTTGGCATATTTTAGGGATTGTTGGGAGTCTAGCCTAACTAAAAAAAAAGGGATTGCTGTGGGGAATAATGGGATACAGGGTTGGTTTTAGATTGGTAATGCTCTTTGAGCAGAAAGGTATTATCAGGGTCTTTCCTTCTGGCTTTCATTATGGCACGGCACTAAACAGAGCTTTCATCAGATGGAGTAAAGAGGAAATTGAAGGAAAGAGATCTTTAGATAACTATAATGTATGAATTGAGGGAGAAGAGACAAACCAGTGCAATGGACATTAGATAGAAAAGAGAGTGATGGGATTGTATTGGAATGGTCTTTAATTTCATGGAAAGATTTTGTATTTTTAATGATGAGATATTTTTAAATAGTTTTAAGAGTGAAATCTTGAAGATAAGCATTTTTCATAGTTTTGATTCATTTTTTCAAATTTGATTCTCCATTTTTCTGTAAGTAAAATTTACAAGTTTTTATATTATCAACCCTATTACTAACATGTCAACATACTATCTAAATATTATCAGCAAGAATCTCACCGAATGAGACCATCTCTTTACTTTATAACCCATTAAATAAATGCTTATTAAGTAAGTTAATGAAGATTACATACTCCATCCCCTACCCACACCTCTCCACTTGTAGCCTTTATCTCTGATATTATGCTAACTAAGTTGTTTCCACTTCATGGAAAGTAAATTTTGTAGACATGTCCAACTTCCTATAAATTCCTTAGGGATAGACTGGGACTTCTAGAGTAATAAATAAAGGAGTAATAATGTACATGTTTTTAATCATGACTAAAAGTTCACAGTTATGGCTTCTTTGTTTATAGTTATGACTAGTGAAATTTTGTGATGGATTTCACTTAAAATATTCCTTTTAGACTATCATTTTGCCAGTGAAATAAAGCTCTGTGTTAACATTTTGTTTACATCACAGTATCACAGTCCATAAAAAAAGAGCCACATTTTTCTTCATTCCCAGTTTCAGAACAGACTAAGAGGTAAAGAAGAAAAATAGGGCAAAGGCTATATATCAACTCTCATAAGGAGCTACTGCACAGTATTTCTTTTCACATGTCATTAAACACAACAAATTACAAAGGAGACTATGAAATAAAATCTTTATTCTGTATAGCTAGCATAGGCAACCCTTAATTTTGAATTGTATTTATAGTAGAAAATAATTTTCTTCTTTGAATGAAAACCATTGTCTGTACTTCTAAAGCTATATCTATTCCTCCAGGTTCTGTCTTTCACACATCCTACCTCGTTCCACTCTGCAGAGACATATGAGTCCCTGTTACAGTGCCTCAGAATGGAAGATGACAAGGTAGCAGAAGCTGCTATACAAATTTTTAGAAATACAGGCCACAAAATAGAAACAGACCTACCCCAGATACGATCGTGAGTATATTTTTTCTCATGGTAAACATAAAAGTGTTTTAAGTGTAGGAGCCAGTCATTTTTCTTTTTCATGTAGGAAGATAGGAGAGAGGGGAGAGGAAAGACAACTTTTTCTTAGAAGCAGCTTTTCTGTATCCTTTGTATTATCCTTTCTCTGCCTTATACTCCTCCCCTACTATTAGAAGAACAAACTGAAAAAGAAATTAGAGGAACAAACTGAAACTTTGTTTATAACAAGATCATTTTTGAATATTAATATTAATAATCAAAAGTTATCACAATTTAGAATTTTGGTTAGCGTTTCTTCCTTATCTACGTACATTTTCTTCCCTCCAACTGGTTTAAATTCAGTAGCTGCTACTAACCTGTCTCACCAAAGAATGGGATAATCAACTAGTCTGTTTAACATTATATCTTATTAGTTGCCTGGTTATTGGCAGTGGTGGTTTTATAATTTTTGATCTCTCCCTCAAGATTACCTTTTCTCTTTCATCATAAGAATGAAATACATTTTGATATTTTTGCTTCGACATCATAAAGAGGTTGCCTTAGGATCAAACTTGTGCTGAGAGTTTATATTTAGACAAAAAATGTGGGAGATGTCTTTTGAAGGAAAAACACATTGTTGATAGCTATTGAGTCAGATGTTCAGGGTATATGCAAATAGTTCTGGATATATCCAAATCAAACCGTTTTTCCTTACAGGGTAATAATAGGACAAGAGGACTACTGACTCCTAAAGTTTTGGTTTTTTGTTTTTTGTTTTTTTAATGTTTTATTTATTTTTGAGACAAAGACAGCATGAGCAGGGGAGGGGCAGAGAGAGAGGGAGACACAGAATCCAAAGCAGTCTCCAGGCTCTGAGCTGTCAGCACAGAGCCCAACACTAGGCTCGAACCCACGAACCGTGAGATCATGTCCTGCGCCAAAGTCAGATGCTTAACCAACTGAGCCACCCAGGCGTCCCCTGATTCCTAAAGTTTTTATTAAATTTGTAAGCTGATAGTTTAATTTGAGAAATAAGTCAATATTTATTGTACATTCTCTTCATTCTCAGAACTGTACTAATATAAAAGAATTACCACACTTAGTCCCTGGTCTCAAGGTGTTTATAGCCTAGAAATCATAATCTTTGTACTTGTACATTGGGGAAAAAAATCATTGACACACTAGGATAAAGTTTCTGGTGAGTTTTTCGAGGTAGGAAAACCTATTTTAAGGTAAAGGATTTCTTCTTAAAGGAATTCTATCCCAGCAGAAGCATTGGAAAATGGGGGTAGGTGAAATAGTTAACTTTGGACATAAGGAATAAAACGTATTGTTCTTAAGACTAATGAGGAAGGAGGGAGAGAATCATTGAAAAGCAGAGGAGCAAAAACAATGCAGGCCTCGGAAACAACCCTGATGACATCATCGGATTATATAGCACACTAGAAAAGCAAGGGAAAAGGTTAAAGTTGATTTTTGTGTAATCATTTCATTAGGCTAAGAAGAATTAGTAACACATTTAACAACAGTTTGATCAACATTGTGTCTTTGTTACTTGTGTTATTTACAAGAACTGCTACTCTGGTAAATGAGTTTGTGAGAAAGACTTTAACAGTGTTCAGTTAAGGAGGCTACTGGGCCATGGAAATCTGTCTCTTAACAATTCTAAATCTGCACACAGAGAAATGTGTCATATTCGTAAGTGTCAAATCAGATTTATACTGACTAGCATGTATTCATTGCAGTTTTTTGGTTGAGGTGCATGACCTGGGATCTGGAGTATTGCTTTTAATGTCTAGCCTCCCATTTTCATGAGAGGACCTTTTGTCATCATTGTATTTGATACCACTGACCTTATAAATCTATAAAATAGAACCACTGCATTAAATGTATGACAAGTATCTTTCTTAAATTTTTTTTTTTTTTTTGCCTTAAATAGCTTTTCTTCTGATTAAAAGAATACTTAAATGTTCATTGTAAAAAGCTAAAACTTGGGGTACCTGGGTGGTCAGTCGCTTAAGCATCCAACTCGTGATTTTGGCTCAGGTCATGATCTCAGGGTCATGAGATGGAGCCTCCCATTGGTCTCTGTGCTGAGCGTGGAGCCTGCTTAAGATTCTCTCTCCCTCTCTCTCTGCCCTACCCTGTCATTTTCTCTCTCTCTCTTTCTTAAAAAAAAAAAAAAAAAAAAAAAAAGGCAAGCTGAAACTTTAGGAAATATAAGGGAGAGAAAGAGTCATTATCCACACTTTGATATTTCTTTATGAGTATTTTGTCTATCTACTTGCTGTGTATACCTGTTCTTTTATAGGTTGGTACTTACATCTTCATATAATGTTTTCTTATATCATCAACATTTAATGCTTTAAGACTATAATGTGTTATCTCCATATTGTCCTATTATTTTACTTTGACCTTCAATGTCAGTATGGAGGTTAAGTGCATGGATTTTGGAGAAGAAGTACACATTTTCACATCCCAACTCTACCATTTCCTAGCTCCATCACCTTAAGAAGCTTAAATAGGGGAGCCTGGGTGGCTCAGTTGGTTAAGCGTCCGACTTCAGCTCAGGTCATGATCTCACGGTCCGTGAGTTCGCGCCCCGCGTCAGGCTCTGTGCTGACAGCTCAGAGCCTGGAGTCTGTTTCGGATTCTGTGTCTCCCTCTCTCTCTGCCCCTCCCCTATTCACACTCTGTCTCTGTCTCAAAAATAAATAAACGTTAAAAAAAAAAAAAGAAGCTTAAATAAAATAATATTTTTGTGCTTTAGTTTCCTCATCTGTTTAATAAATGTAATAGTCCTCTTTGGGTGACTATGAGGATTAATTGAATTAATCCACATGAAAACACTTAGAATGGTGCTTGGTACAAGTACTCAATAATCGTTAGATGTTTTTATTACTCTTCTACCAATATATATGTGTCGTTATCCTTGCATACTTTGTTTTACTGCTTTCATTTCAGCCCTTTAATAAAACTTGACCTTTTTGCTACTTTTTGTCTATGGCTACTTTAAAGTTTATTTATTTATTTTGAGAGATAGAGAAAAAGAGCCTGAGCAGGGGAGGGGCAGAGAGAGAGGGAGTGAGAGAATCCCAAGCAGGCTCCGTGCTCTGCACTGAGCCTGACAGAGGGATTGATCTCACAACTGTGAACCCATGACCTGAGCCAAAATCAAGAGTCAGACATTTAACTGACTGAGCCACCCAGGTGCCCTTCCATGGCTGCTTTAAAGTAACTGAAGGGGAAGGGCGCCTGGGTGGCTCAGTTAAGCATCCGACTTCAGCTCAGGTCATGATCTCTCATGCTGTGTCGGGCTCTGTGCTGACAGCTCAGAGCCTGGAGCCTGCTTCGGATTCTATGTCTCCCTCTCTCTCTGCCCCCACTTCGTCCTCTGTCTGTCTGTCTGTCTCTCTCTCTCTCTCTCTCAAAAAATGAATAAACATGAAAAAAATTATTTTTAATAACTGAAGGGATTGTGAAAGGGAAGTGGGAAATTAGGAATATGTACTTGGAAGGTAAATATAAAAATATAACATGGGGCAAGTTTTAGATTATAAATTCAGGGTGGTTTGTTTATTTCTCCATATTTATGAGGTGGCTTTAAAATAAAAACTATCTCCTGCAGTAGCCTTTTTCTTGAGACGTTTCTTTTATTATAGTTGGGGATAGAGAAGGAGCTTTAAACCTTTCTGCAGATGAGGTAATTTTTAACAGAGTCTTATCAGGGTTTCTGGCTGGCTCAGTTGGTGGATTCTTGATCTCAGGTCATGAGTTCGAGCCCCACATTGGGTGTAGAGATTATATACGTGTGTGTGTGTATATATACGTGTACATATACACGTATATATACACATATATACGTGTATATATAACACACACGCACATACATACATACGTACAGCTTAAAAATTAAGAGAGGCTTCGCTACCAGCAAAAATCCAAGCAGTTAAGGGAGAGGAAGCAGGAGACAACCAGGAGAACTACTTGTAGTATATGGGCTTTTTTTAATTATGGTATTATTTTTTTGCAGGACCTTAATTCCCATTTTACATCAGAAAGCAAAGAGAGGTACTCCACACCAAGCAAAACAGGCTGTTCATTGTATACATGCCATATTCACCAATAAAGAAGTCCAGCTTGCACAGATTTTTGAGGTATATATATATATATATATAGGATGTGTTTATGTTGATTTTTATTCTTATGCTGTGTGGTTTGTTGAAGATGGAAGGTAAATTTTTTTTTTGGCTATTTAGTTTCACCCTAGTATATATATTCCATGGGAGCAGGGACACTCTTTTTCCAGCACTGTATTCACAAACTTTACATCAGATTATATGTTCAAATACTACATTTAGAAGAATATTTTGTGTGTTTGTGTTAGAACATTTTAATTTTCACTTTATTGGCTTGGTGGTCCACTTATCCTCAGAAAGTATTAGTAGATAACTTTGAACCACCCAGTTTAAAGTACCTGTCAACCCTACCTGAAAATTAATCCTGTTTGCCTTTTCTTATGTATGATCCTTGGCCTGATTCCACTACTAGAAAAGTACTCTTGTTTCTGTAAATTGGATATAGTATCAACAAAACCATTTGAACCCTTATTTTTTATGGTCCATGGGCATTTAAAATGTCCCCACAGGATAAGAAATCCACCAACATAACAAGCCTATTGTTGTACATGGCTTGAAAATAATGCTGATTTGATGATGCAGAAATGTTCTTGTTTTTACTTCTGCCTTTTACGTGGGCTTTTGTTTTCTTTTTCTTTTTTCTGCATTCTTTCATCATATTAAATTTCAGTAAGTACAATAAGAATCAAGTGTCTGATAAGGCTGAAGTTACTTTTGATCATATCATTAGAACAGATTTGTTTGGGCACAATAAATTCAGGAGGGTCAGGAGCATTTACTGTTTCCATAGAATGTAGATATTTATAAAACAAAATTGGTAATTTTGACTGTTTTATTTTTATAGCCACTCAGTAGGAGTCTGAATGCTGATGTACCAGAACAACTTATAACTCCATTAGTTTCATTGGGCCACATTTCTATGTTAGCACCAGATCAATTTGCTTCCCCAATGAAATCTGTAGTAGCAAATTTTATTGTGAAAGATCTGCTAATGAATGACAGGGTAAGTTTCTAATTTAATTAAATTTAGAATAATGAGACTAAAACTATTTATATCTTCATCACAGAAACATTTCTGCCTCTCTATTTAATTTTCTTTTCCTTTTAAATTATTGCGTGTTTTCCCTCATTTATTTACTTAAATTTCCAAATGACATCCTGACTTCAGTATAGCTATTACCAGAACTTAACATTTAAGAAAGAAAAAATGAGAACATGAGATGAATGAATCATTAAGTAAAAAATATAAATCAAATGCTGTTGTCCTAACATTTGAAGGACAATTTACTGGGGTGCTAGAATTTTATCAAATGTTGTTAAAAATATAAGTAGAATTGTATTTAACATTTTGAATTGTATTTAGCATTTCGGAATATAATTACATTGCAGTTTTGGCACTAGACTCATACTCTGTTCTAGTTGCTGAAGTGTGCGGGTGGGTAGGTGCTCACAGTGTGTGTGTGCACATGCTAATTTATTAGCTCCGGGCTGGAACCCAGGAATGTATAGCTTGAAAAGGCTCCCCAAGAGATTCCTGAAACACATACCTGATTAAGAATTCACTTTACCAAGTAATGGGGCGCCTGGGTGGCGCAGTCGGTTAAGCGTCCGACTTCAGCCAGGTCACGATCTCGCGGTCCGTGAGTTCGAGCCCCGCATCAGGCTCTGGGCTGATGGCTCAGACCTGGAGCCTGTTTCCGATTCTGTGTCTCCCTCTCTCTCTGCCCCTCCCCCGTTCATGTTCTGTCTCTCTCTGTCCCAAAAATAAATAAACATTGAAAAGAATTCACTTTACCAAGTATTAAATTAAAAATGAATGTTGAATGAAGACAAGTCTGTTTTACCTGCTGGATCATTGTTGATGACTTTCAAGGGAGTGCTATTTTATCCAGCTTACCTATTCCTTCCACGTGATCCAGTAGTCTTGGAGCCTTTGATATCCAAACTTAAAAAGAAAGACATTTTAGTGCATTCCTTCCTCTCCCTTCCCCCATTTAGATGTAATAGACAAGGATAGAAGAACATAGCCAAAGTCTCATTTCCCACTTAACACATTCAGGCTGTGTTTTGCACTGTTGATAGATGTGGCTGGTAACCAGTGTGAAATTTAAGACCCCTCTTAAACGACTTGATTGTTGATGGATTGTAGTTTAAGGTGGCTCTTTTTTGTTGTTTATGTGGTAAAATATGCATGATTTAAACTTTGGCAATTTTGCTATTTTTAAGTGTACAATTCACTTACGTCATACACACCAGCATTCTTGTTTTTGTTGTTGGGTGGGTATTTTTGTTTTGTTTTGTTTTTTAAGAAACAAACAAGTTGAGGGGCACCTGGGTGGCTCAGTTGGTTAAGCGTCCAACTCTTGCTTTCAGCTCAGGTTATGATCTCGGGGTTTATGAGTTCAAGCCCCACGTCAGGCTCCACGCTGATAATATAGAACCTACCTGGGATTCTGTCTTTCTCTTCCTCTTTCTCTGTCCCCCCCTTGCTCGTTTGTGCTCTCTCTCACAAAATAAATAAACAAACACTAAAAAAAAAAAAAAAAAAAAGTTTAATACCATGTATGCCTCCTGTATACATGGGAAATACCCAGGAAAGCCAAATAACTCTCCAAAATGACCCAAGCCACCACCTAAAATATGTACCCACGTTGTTGTGTAACTGTCATCACTATTTCCAGAACTTTTTAATCTCAGATAAAAACTCTGCATTCATTAACCAGTAACCCCCACAGCCTCTGGTAAACTCTGTTGTACTTTCTTCTGACTCTGAATTTGCCTGTTCTAGATACCTCTCATCATACAATATTTGTCCTTTTGTGCCTGGTGTATTTCACTAGCATACTCATTTCAAGGTTCATTTGTGTTATGTATCAGAAGTTCATTCATTTTATGCCAGAATAATATTGTATGTGTAGCCTACATTTTGTTTATTCATTTGTTGATGGACAGTTGGATTTTTTCCCACCTTTTGACTTTGGTGAATAATGATGAAATGAACATTTGCATCCCTGTTTTCAAATCATTTTGGATATATGCCTAGGAACGGTATTGCTGGCTCCCAAGGTCATTCTATGTTGTACTTTTTGAGGGACTGCCAAACTGTTTTCCACAGTGTCTATACCATTTTGTGTTGTTTCTTCACAGCTTTGCCAATGCTTACTCTTTTCTGTGTTTTTGATAATGGCCATTCTAGTGGGTATAAAGTAGTATCTCATCGTTTTGCTTTGTGTTTCACTAATGATTTGATAGACGTGGCTGGCAACCAATGTGAAGTCCTTCTAACAATGTAGAGGGTTTTTTTTTCTTTTCATGTGCTTTTGGCCATTTATGTATCTTTGGATATTTAAAGTCATTTGCACGCTTTTAATTGGGTTGTTTATCGTTTCTGAGTTCTCAGAATTCTTTATATATCCTATTAAACCCTTCTCAGATATTTGCCAAATCAAACAACATGAAGATTTTCTCCTATATCTTCTAAGAGTTTTATAGTTTTAGCTCTTAAATTAAGATCTTTGATCTATTTTGAATTAATTTTGAATATAAGGTAACAATGCATCTTTATTTTTTGCTCTTGGACGTTCTAATTTTTCTAGCACCATTTGTTGAAGTAATTGGTCTCAGCACCCTTGTTAAAAATCAGTTAACCATATAGTTGAGGATTTTCTGCATTCTTTGTTTCATTCCACTGGTGTATGATTTGTAGTAAGTTTTGAAATCAGGAAGCTCAAGTCCTCCAACTTTGTTCTTTTTCAAGCCCTGGTGACTTTCCTGTAGGATTCCTAGAGCACTGCATTATTCAGCATGAAAAACTTAATGAAGGAAACTTCAAAATTCTTTCTAAGAATTAAATATATTTAATTGTCTATAGTCAACAGGTGAGAAGAATGGAAAATTATGGTCTCCAGATGAAGAGGTTTCCCCTGAAGTACTAGCAAAGGTAAATTTGTGTAGGCCTTGATAACTTTTATGTTGAAATAATGAACATTCATAGATCCTTTAACTTGACATTAAATGAGTATCAAAAGTTGTGTTTCTCAAAGAAATTGTAGTCCTCATGGAGTTACTTACATATATGTCAGCATTTTCCATTGAACTTCCTGCCTGGTGAAATAATTTCAATGAGGCTGTTATACACAGAAATTGTTTGTAGGGTATTGATGCTCAGAAGCATCTCAGGTCTAGCCTTACTACCACTCTCTACAAAAATATGAATATTAACTTGGCAAAAGTGGATAGCTGTCATCAAATTGGTAACTTTTGATAGTTGCAAAATGTACCTCAATAAAGCTAACTTTTAAAGTGGTAGTATTGGGTTGACAACAAGTCTTCATTATCTTAAAATCTGTTTCACCTTTTGTGGCTTCATAGTCATGTTCCATCAATTCCTTTTTCCAGGTTGTCAATAAATACTGTAAATAACACCTAGATGCTTTAGCTAATTTTTCCATGTGTACTGGTAGCAGTCTTTTGAGTGTAAACCTCCAAGTAATTATGACCACAAATAATTAGGGAATCTCCTAATTTTATATTTCAGGATAGTCACACAGCATCACACTTCATAATTTCTTCAAAATAGTTTTTTCAGTACTACAAAAAATAGTAAAGTCTATCTAAATGGCACATTTTAATCACTGTAACAGGTATAGTTTAAATAGTTATTTTTAAAAAATGTATTTTCAAGTAATTTGAAGTTTTGGGGCAATGTGAAAAGCCTGAGATCAAGAGCCAGACTTTGGGCAAGTTATCTATTATAGTAATGTGTCCTAGTTGCCTTATCTGTTGGAAATGAAAATACCTCCCTTGTAGAATTGTTTGGGACATCAAATAGGTTAAAAACATTTACAGCTCTGGGAAAAGTGCCTATTACAGATTCAACAAGATAAATATTCTTATTGCTATGGTTATTATCCTACAGACTTGTTTCATAAAACATATTTACCAGCAATTAAGCAACCTCATTAATCTAATTAACATAAATTAATTTTCCCTTTAATTGAAATTTTAAGTTCCATTCTTTTTTTAGCATGTTAATATTTTATAGGTACAGGCAATTAAACTTCTGGTAAGGTGGCTGTTGGGTATGAAAAACAACCAGTCTAAATCTGCCAATTCAACTCTTCGATTATTATCAGCGATGTTGGTTAGTGAGGGTGACCTGACAGAGCAAAAGAGAATCAGGTGAGATTTTTCTTCCTTTCCAATTTTTACAGCTCAAAATGTTAGTAGAACTTATATAGGAATTATTTGCCTAATTAATATTGAATGTTGTAATTGTACCATATGCTTTGGGATCAGAACTGATGTACTCGAGGTTTACATCTCAAGCATAATGGAATGTTTCTTTTCACTTTTAAAGACCAGACTTTTTCCAGGAAACTTTTAGTCATAATCACTATGTATTACAGTTGCCTTCAACATTTGGTTCACTTAAGCAAATACCTGTTTAAATACTGCTCTTTGCAAAACACATGAAAAGCATTGCAGAGAAAACATAAGATTCAGTTTCTACCTTTCACCCTGTATTATAGTGATGGAACAAGTGGAGTGACAGTACTGTGAAATGAATGCAAGTTTCAGTGGAGGTTCAAAGGAGGAAAAGTCACAGCCCTCCTGGTGGTTTGCAGATTATACAAGGTTTCGCAAATGCAAAAAAAAAAAAAAAAGCAAAAGCCACATACACATTGTTTCCATTTCTACACATTGTCACTTTGTGAAATCACTATTGCTTCTATTTGTTGTTTTGTTTTGTTTTGGGAAAGCACCAGAGGGGAAGAGGGGCTGAAGGAAAGAGAGAGAACCTCATGCAGGCTCCATGCCCAGCACAGAGCCGGCTGTAGTGCTCCGTCTCACAATCATGAGATCATGACCTGAGCCTACTGAGCCACTCGTGTACGCCATATTCCTTTTAAGATGAAAATAAAAGCCAGATTTTTCATGATCCGTGTTTGTTTCAATTCTTGATTTACTACAGTCCAGGAGTACCAGCAGATAAAACTACAGAGTTCTACTTGTGATGTTTTCCTACTTTAAAATGTTTTATTACAAGACAGATTTAAGTATTCATGTATGCATTGAGTATTGAGCACTGTCATCCTAGGTACTGCTATGCTTGTTTTAAAGGTATAAAATCTCTCCTTCTAAGGAATATGCATTCTAGTGGAGGAGATAGGAAATGAGCAATTTCAGTAGAGATGCTGAATGGTTTGATAAACTGAAGAAAACCATGAGAAATTATCTTTCTCATAGAATAAGCCAAGGGTAGCTTTGTAGGAACAGATTAGAAGATTAGAGCTAAGTTAGCAATAATGAGAAGTTTTAAATTGGGGGAAACTATGTACAGTGTATGGCAAAGGCTTAATAATGAGCTCTTTATAAATTAGTGATAAATAGGATACCCACTAGAGATGAAGACTACAAATTATCAGTTTACCTTTTTAAAAATGTTTAACATTGTATGGAGCCTGCTTGGGATTCTGGTCCCTCCCTTCCCCCATCTCAAAAATAAATAAAACATTTTTTTTTTAATCATTTATATTCACTAGGAAAAGGACACTTCTCTCTTCTATTTCCCCACTCTTTCCTTTTACCCACATTCAAATAACATGAGCAAAACTTTTCTAAAAAATAAAAATAAATGTTTAACATCACTAAATATAATAAATGCAGTTTAAACATGGTGATACCTCTTGCCTGTCAATCAACAAAAAAATTTTTAAAGCCATCACTGCTTCACAGGATCAGGGAAATGGCTTCCCTCCTTACTCCTGTGAATATAAATTAGCACAGTCTTGGCAGGACAGTTTGGCATTTTGGGTATAGTTCCCTATAAATGTTACCCTTTGACTATTTTTATACTCATGAAATATAAGAGAATCATACAAAAATGTGTATATGAACATATTTTCAGCATTTTTTTTATCATCACAGAAAATAGGGGAATGGTTAACTATGGAACACATGTCATGAAATATTAGGCAGATCTAAATTAGGTGTTACATATCCTATGCTAATTGTACACTAATGTAACCATGCTATGTAAATTTAGCTTGGGCTCTAGAATCAGAAACTTATACAACTCTATACTCCATTTACTAGCTGTGTGAACTTGTATAAATCACTTTTCTAAACCTGTTTCCTCATAGAGTGAAAATTAAATAAAGCCTGTGAAGTGTTCACTCACTGCCTAACAGAGTTAAGTACCCAGATGGTAGTTGTTTATTTTTTAATCCCTGAATCATTTGAGTCAGAAGCCATTTGAAGTTCTCTCAAAAATACCTATGTTCAGGACACCTGGGTGGCTCAGTCGGTTGAGTGTCCAACTCTTGGCTTTGGCTCAGGTCGTGATCCCAGGGTCATGGAATCGAGCCCCACATCAGTCCCTGTGCTGAGTGTGGATCCTGCTTAAGATTCTTGCTCTCCCTTCCTCTGCCCCTCTCCCCAGCTCATGTTCTCTCTCTTAAAAAATAAAATAAAATAAAATAATAATAATAACAATAATAATAATTAATAATACCAGTGTTCACTTTGACAATCCTCCTGTCCAAGAGTGCGATGTTTTCTTGTACGATAATAATGGACTCAGCCAGCTTTCCTCATTTCCTAAAGTCTTTAAATATCATAACCATGCTATGTTTCACATAGAAGTTGAAAGAAGACTGTCCTTTCATCTCATCCATTGTCACATTTTACCATTTAGGAAATAAAAAACTACTGGGCGGGATGGTAGTGCTCAACCTCCTGGGGTTTTTTTGCTACAAAACAAAGTCTGCCCCAGAGACTAGTACCCCAAATAGACACTGGCTCTCAGTTCATATCCTTTCCCTTGTCTGTTACCTCCTTTTCCGTGGTATAAATCACCTCCTAATGGCTATATATGCATTTAAAAACTGTGGGAAATAGATTTGATATGATAGGTGGTTTAATCAGTTGTCTACAATGAATGTGTATTCCTCTTAAAATGAGGAATACTGTTCCTGATGTAAATGGTTCTTCCCAGCATTACACTTAGTGTAGTTGCGAATCATAAGCAGGGCTGTTTGTCTATGTATGGTAGAGGATCTAGGCTAGAACATAACTAAAAATGAAGGCAGATAAATTTATTAGTCACAATGATTTGAGCCTTTTTCCCCGTGTTGAGTTCAAGAACTAAAAGTAGCTTTCCCATATTTATACATTATGTCATTTTAAGCATAAGTTATGCTAAAGATCATAACACTCAAAAAGGGACCAAAGCATTGTTATGAATGATAATGGTTATAGGAAATGTTTATTTCTTTTTTGTTTGTTTATAGTAAATCTGATATGTCTCGCTTGCGATTAGCTGCTGGTAGTGCCATAATGAAGCTTGCTCAGGAACCTTGTTACCATGAAATTATAACCCCTGAACAGTTTCAGCTCTGTGCACTTGTTATTAATGTAAGTAATCGTCTTATTTTTGTCAGTTACTTTCCCTTCAAAGTTAAGTACATTTACCTTCTATGGATACAGATCCATTTACTGTGTGCACAAACAGAATTTGTATTACAATTATTCTAACTAAATATCTTATACATATTGTTATTTATTTCCCCCAGTATAACTATGATCTTTTTTTAATGAAGGCATTCAGAATAAACTGCTGTTTGGTAAATGTTTGCCAATTTTTTTTCTTAATGAAATGAGGTTATTTTGTCATAGTTTTAAAGGTACTAGTATTTTTATTTAAGTATTTTTGGTTTTCTGCTGCTGTAGGATGAGTGCTACCAAGTAAGGCAGATATTTGCTCAGAAGTTGCATAAGGCACTTGTGAAGTTACTACTCCCATTGGAGTACATGGCGATCTTTGCCTTGTGTGCCAAAGATCCTGTGAAGGAGAGAAGAGCACATGCACGACAGTGTTTACTAAAAAATATCAGTATACGCAGGGAGTACATTAAACAGAATCCCATGGCTACTGGTAAGTAATTTTGAAAGCTCTCAGTGTGCAAACATATCTTGTCAATGTACCAACTTGGGGGGTGCAGGGGGTTTATTTCCTATATTTCTATTGTAGTTAATAATAACACTAGGATTTTTATAGGATGCTGTCACTATAGTTGTGATGTATTTAACATATTAAATCTGGTTTCTAGGTCCTGTTTATAATGTATGAAACTGTTTGGGGGAATTACATTTTTCTTATGGGATCAGCAGTGTGGCTTGATTTAAACACATTGCTCAGATGTCAGAGAGTAAAGAATTACTTTCCTAGCTTTACCAAGGACTCACTATATAATCTCAAATTATCCTTTTGGCTTTAATAGCTTTCCACATTGAAATAAAAGTGTTTCAGTATCCTCTAGATACCATGTTGCCTCTAATTTTAAAGTAAATCAGGAAAAAGATGGAAACTGAAGTGGATAGAAAGCAAACTAGAGAGGGATTTTATAAAAGCTCTTATTACTGTTGTTGATAATAATGTTTTCACTTTAGAGAAATTATTATCACTGTTGCCTGAATATGTAGTTCCATACATGATTCACCTGCTAGCCCATGATCCAGATTTTACAAGATCACAAGATGTTGACCAGCTTCGTGATATTAAAGAGTAAGTCATGTAGAATTTCAAGAATTCTAGAAGTTATTTTTACTTTTTAATAAGATACCAAATATTTTTCCTGTTACTGTTCCCATTAGAATAAAAACTTCTCTGTGGTTTTATTTCTTATAAATTATTGTTTCATCTTAGAAAATTTTTCCATCTAACAAGCTCTTTTTGGTTCTTCTGATTGTTTCCTATTTGCTGTCAGCTGTGTCTTTAAAATAGGCTGGTTTGGGGCACCTGGGTGGCTCAGTCAGCTAAGCCCCCAACTTCAGCTCAGGTCATAATCTGACAGTTCGTGAGTTCGAACCCTGCATCAGGTTCTGTGCTAACAGCTCAAAGCCTGGAGCCTACTTTGGATTCTGTGTCTCCCTCTCTGCCCCACCCTCCTGCGCACGTGCTCTCTCTCAAAAATAAATAAACATTTAAAAAATTGGCAAAAAAATAAAAAGTATTATGATTTTGAAGTGCCTGGGTGAAAACGTTCCAGTCGTTAGCGTCGACTTCGAGGTCGTGATCTCACGGTTTGTGAGTTTGAGCCCCATGTTGGGCTCTGTCCTGACAGCTGGGAGCCTAGAGCCTGCTTCGGATTCTGTGTCTCCTTCTGTCTCTGCTCCTCCCCCGCTCACACTCTCTCTCTCTCTCTCAAAGATAAACATTAAAAAAAAATTTTTTTTTTTTTTTAAATAAAAGTATGGCTGGGGCGCCTGGGTGGCGCAGTCGGTTAAGCGTCCGACTTCAGCCAGGTCAGGTCCGCGATCTCGCTCGATGAGTTGAGCCTTGTCGAACTCTGGGCTGATGTCAGAGCCTGGAGCCTGTTTGCGATTCTGTGTCTCCCTCTCTCTCTGCCCCTCGTTCATGCTCTGTCTCTCTCTGTCCCAAAAAATAAATAAGCGTTTGCGTTGAAAAAAAAAAATAATAAAAAAAAAAAAATAAAAGTATGGCTTTTTTGAGAGGCGCCTGGGTGGCTCAGCCAGGTGAGCATCTGACTCTTGATTTTTGTGTAGGTCATGATCTCACAGTTGTGAGTTCAAGCCCCACATTGGGTTCCATGCTGACAGTGAGGAGCCTGCTTGGGATTCTCTGTTTCCCTGTCTCTCTGCCCCTCCCCTTCTCTCTGTCTCTCTCTTTCTCAAAATAAATAAACATTAAAAAATATAATAATGAAAGTATTATGATTTTTGTATGTATGACATTAAAAAATATAATAAAAGTATTATGATTTTTGTATGTATGTCATTAAACCTTATTCCTAATCTTATTTAAGGTTGTAATCAACATTTATCTATGCCTCCTATAGCTTTTATCACTGAAATTGTGTCAGTATCTTAACTGGAAGAGATGTTATCTTGTCCAACATTACTGTTAAGCATTGGACTATGAGCTCCTTACATTTTGAAGCCTTGTCATTTCATTATTGTTGCTTCCAACACATTATTCCAGTAATACTGTCTTTCTGTAACTAAAAACTTCTCTGGCCTTCAATTACCTTATTCATAAAATGAAGGAGATAAAATAGATAACTCCTAAAATGTCTTCTAATTCTAATTTTTGTTTATTTTTTTAATTGTTTACATTTGTATTTACAATTTTTTTTCTTTAAAAACTTTGAGTTTGGGGTTTCCCAGAAAACACTTCCATAAAATAAAAACCTGATGTATGTGTTTGCGTAGAACGTGAGGTCTATGTCAGAGAACATTTTAGCTGTATTTCAGTTGCAAAGCAGTCATGTGAAAGAAGGACTAGACTTAAGAGAAGAAGCTATAACATGGGAAGGAGAGTACTGATGTACAAGAAGTAATTGGAGTTAGAATTGAAATCACTGGCACTTTTTGTTGTTCTGTCTAGTATGCAACATTTTTAATATCGTTAAGCAATTATTTTAAGTTTCCATGTAAATTGAAGTGTTAATATGTTTTTCAAACTGGTTATTTAACTTTGTGGAAATTATTAATTTATTGTGTCGCTATTTGCTTTGGCTATTCAGGATCTTTTATGGTTTCATAAAAATTTTAGAATTATTTCTTCTAGTTCTGTGAAAAATGCCATTGATAAGGATTGTATTGAATCTATAGGTTGCTGTGAATAGCTTGGACATTTTAACAATATTCTTCCAGTCCATGAGCACAAAATATCTTTCTATTTATTTGTGCATTCTTCAATATCTTTCATGTCTTCTAGTTTTCAGTATGGGTCAGAAGCATGACTGTGGTCAAGAAAAGATAGCTGTAGGGGCATCTGGATGGCTCAGTCGGTTAAGCATCCGACTGCGGCTCAGGTCATGATCTCACAGTTCGTGAGTTCGAGCCCTGCATCGGGCTCTGTGCTGACAGCTTAGAGCCTGGAGCCTGCTTCGAATTCTGTGTCTTCCCCTCTCTCTGCCCCTCCCCCACTCATGTTCGCTCTCTCTCTCTCTCTCTCTCTCCTTCAAAAATAAATAAAAACATTAAAAAAAATTTTTTTTAAAAGAAAGAAAAGATAGCTTTATAACATGAGAAATTGAGGGGGGTCATATAATCTATCAAAATTACTTTTTTATTCCCTTTATAATACTTTTTTATTCTCTTCTTTACCAAAATGATATATAGCCATACTTTAAAATACATAGGATTAAATTCAGTCTATCAATAACCATTATACTGTTTTGGGAATCAGTCAGTCTTGAGTAACAGGAGTGTTTATCTCTTTATGGACTCTTAAGAATTAATTGAATCAGAAAGATTTATTTTAGTTACAAAAGACAATTTAAGTTTTTCATTTGCCATATTTTAGTTACAATATATTTAACATTAACATTAGAAGTTTCAGTTCCTTGGCATTACTATTATTTTTTTTTTTTTAACGTTTATTCATTTTTGAGAGAGTGAGAGAGAGAGAGCGCGCACAAGTTGGGGAGTGGCATAGAAAGGGAGACACAGGATCCGAAGCAGGCTCCAGGCTCTGAGTTGTCAGCACAGAGCCTGACCCAGGGCTCGAACTCACAAACCACGAAGTCATGACCTGAGCTGAAGTCTGATCCTTAACTGACTAAGCCACCTAGGCTTAGTATTACCTAGGCTGGTATTACTATTATTTTACTTTGAAAATGATCCCTAACCACCTCCTTATCCCTAAGAAAAAGAGTGAGAAAATGTCCTGATGTTTTACATTGTGTGGGATTAGTTGGGAGAATTTTATGTATTCTAACTGGAATTGTGTTAATTCATCCTTATATTTTTGAGACCCTTCAGTTGCTGTATTAAAGAAATGCAGTATTATAGGGGCTCCTGGGTGGCTCCGTCGGTTAAGCATCCGACTTCGGCTCAGGTCATGATCTCGCAGTCTGTGAGTTCGAGCCCCGCATCAGGTTCTGTGCTGACAGCTCAGAGCCTGGAGCCTGCTTCAGATTCTCTGTCTCCCTCTCTCTCTGCCCCTCCTTTGCTCATGCTCTGTCTCTCTCTCTCTATCAAAAATAAATATTAAAAAAATTTAAGAAATGCAGTATTATATAATGATTTGAGCTTGGATTGTGTCACCAAATAGATTTGTGCGCAAATTCTACCATTTTACCAGTTGTGTGAACTTACTTCATGTCACTTAATTTCTCTATGCTTTAATGTTCATATTTATAAAATTATACTAAGTTGTGAGGATTGATTGAAGGAGATAGTATGTGTAAAATAATCAAACAGTGGTTGGCATATTAAAAAAAAAAATCTTTCACCTTATTGGCTAACTATACTCCTGGTTGTTACTCTTTTTGATGCAATTATAAATGGGAATGTTTTCTTAATTTATTTTTCTAATAATTATTAGTGTAAAAAATGCAACAGATTTTTGTGTATTGATTTTGTTTTCTGCAACTTTAATTTGTTCTAACAGTTTTTTGATGGAGTCTTTAGGGTTTTTTATGTATAATATCATCTTATCTGCAGCTAATGACAGTTTTACTTCTTTTCCAGTTGGATGCCTTTTATTTCTTTTTCTTGCCTAATTGTTCTGGCTAGGACTTCCGAATACTTTCTAAATAAAAGTGGTAAAGACATCTTTGTCTTGTTCCTGATCTTAGAAGAAAAGCTTTCAGCTTTTCACCATTGAGTATGAAGTTATATGTGGTCTTTATTATGTTGAAGTATGTTCTTTCTATAATCACTTTGTTGAGAGTTTTTATCATAAATATATGTTGAATTTTGTTGAGAACTTTTTCTGCATCAATTAGAGATGATCATGATTTGTATTCTTCATTTTGTTAATGTGATATACCACATTGATTCACTTGTGGATGTTGAACCATCCTTGCATCCCTGGAATAAATCCCACTCAGTCATGGTGTATGATCCTTTTAATGTATTGTTGAATTCAGTTTGCTAATATTTTATTGAGGATTTTTGCATCTATGCTTATCAGGAATATTGGCCTGTAGCTTCCTTTCTTGTGGCATCCTTGTCTGGTTTTGGTATCAGGATAATTGCTGGCCTTGTAAACTGATTTTGGAAGAGAGTCCTCCTCTTTTTTGGACAAATTTGAAAAGGATTGATATTAATTCTTCTTTGAATGTGTGGTACAATTCACCAGTGAAGCTCTGTGGTCTTAGACTTTTGCTTGTTGGAAGGTTTTCAGTTACTAATTCAATTTCCTTTCTAGTAATTGGTCTTTCACGTTTTGTTTCTTCATGATTTAGTCTTGGTAAGTTGTATATTGCTAGGAATTTATCCATTTCTTCTAGGTTGTCTAGTGTGTTAGCATATAATTTTTCATAGCATTCTCTTATGATCCTTTGTATCTCTGTGGTATCAGTCATAAATCTCCTTTCGTTTCTGAGTCTTCTTTTTTGTTTTTTCTTGGTCGGTCTAGCTAAAGGTTTGTCAATTTTGTTTACCTTTTTTTTTTTTTTTTTTTTTTTTTTTTTTTTTTTTTTAATGTTTTAGTTATTTTTGAGAGAGAGAGAAAGAGAGAGAGCATGGGAGGGGCAGAAAAAGGGAGACACAAAATCTGAAGCAGGCTCCAGGCTCCAAACGGTCATCAGT